TCTCCACCACTGGCTCTTCGCTTATGGTCTCACTTTCGCTCTTCTCTTCTTCTTTCGTCTGTTCCTCTTCTGTCTTCTCATCCGTTGTCTTCTTCTCGTCTGTTGTCTTGTTTTTATCACTCGTTTCCGATTCGCTCTAAACCGCCGAAGAATACCATTTAATGACAACAATACCACAAATATAAATACAAAAATAGTTGACAAAAATCGATATAAAACCTCATTCTTCTCGGGCTTCTTCTTCGGTGGTGTAATGCGAGCCTTATTTAGCAAATACTTCACTTCGCGGTCGAGAGCCGCCATTTTCTCGGCAATCGACTTGAGCGTCAGTTTCGGGGTCTGGCTTTTGGCCAGCTTTGACTGTTCGGCGACCGTCTGTTCGACCCACGCCTTCGTGTCGTCAATCAACTTCTTCAACGTCTGGATCTCAACCTCCGTGAAGATCTGGTCGTCGGCCGGAGTAGCCGCTACTCCGCCGTAAAACATTTCGCTCATATTCAACATGTTGTTCAACGCGGCCAACGCTTCCGGTCGATCCCTGTGCTCGCGGACCCTCTCGAACAGGGTTTTGGTCAGCGCTTTCAGTTCCGCCAATTTGTCGGTAAACAGTTTGGTCTCCGCGCCGTCCGACTCGTACTCGAGCCACTCCCGCGCGCCCGACAGCTGCGTCTCAATGTTGCTCTTCTCGTCATCGGTGGTCGACGTCGAGTATTCCTCGTCTTCTAACTTCACTCTCGTCTCCAGAATAAACGATTCCAATGTGTTCTTCACTTTGTCTCGTGTCAGTCGTTCCGACTCTCTGTTCGTTTTGATAAGACATTAAGAAATAAATTCACAATTAAGACAATTAATGGCAGAGATTTGAAGAACACGTACTTCTCGTCCAACTCCTTGAGCTTATCTCTGGACTGTTTGAGTAGGTCTTCGCTAAGAGTCGGTAAATCCAACACAACAACAGTGGTATCGATCGGCTCTTTGATTGTCTTAATCTTCAACTCCTTCTTGGGTTCCGTTTGGTTGCCGTTTGCGGTCGTATTCGCCGATTCGGCGGTCGTTTTGTTCGCCTCATTGGTGTCGGGCTTCGGTTCTGTGGTCTCATTCTTGGCGCTCGCGGTCTCGTTAGCGGTTGCCGTCGATTCCGTTTCGTTTGCCTTTTATATCAAAAATGACAATTAATTTCACATTTAAATCACACGACAAACGCATACCTTTTCGAGAAGAGTCTCGTCGTCCGTACGGCCAAAGAGTTTGGATATGGATTCGCCGAACTTGGAGATGGCGTCGCCCACAATATTGCCCATCTCTTCGGCGTCCGACTCCACTTTGGTCTCAAACACCGCTTCAACGCTCTCCACATTCAAGAGTCCGCTCTCATCCATACGAAAGTGGGCTTTGATTCCCTTCGAGTCCACCGATTCGTGTTTACCGATCGCTTCCGACACACCCTTTAGCGACACCTGAAATACACAATTAAATGGCGGTTATTAAACAAATCACACAAATATTAATATAAATATAACAAACGTTAAAAATATTGGTGGAAAAGCCCTCGGGTTTGGAGCCGTAATTGACCGCAAACTCAAAGTCTTTGTTGTGTTTATTGAATGTCAAGACTTTCTTTTGGGGGAAAGCGTTGTTTCGGCCGAACAGTGTTCTGGACATTGACTTTCTTGAGCCCTCTTCGGTGTCGCGATCGAAGTCCACTTGAATTGGGAACAGATTCGCGTCTTTCACTACAAATGTCTTCACTTTAAATCCTGTATAGAAATTGACACTAATTAGCACTCAATTCATATAACAAACAATTAATATAGAAATGCTATGAATGGTTGGGCAGACAGACCTTTGGACAGGTAGGCCGCCTGATAAGCGGCGCCCATCGCCGCCCCCTCGTCGGCGTTAATACTTTTGGACAACTCTTTGTTGAAATAGTTTTGCAAAACTGTCTGTATTTTAGGCACTCGTGTATTACCGCCGACTATAATCACGGAATCAATTTCGGCGATCGTATAGCCGGACGAAGCGAACGCGTCGTCGATAGGTTTGGTCAC